TGGAAGTTCTACTGTAGGTAAAATGCGATCACATAGCATCGCGTGCTACAGAGGATCATTAGTAAATGAAAGAGTCCATCAGTTTGGCAAACTTCATTGTTGTCTTATTAAAGAAATCGCCACAGCCACCCTAACCTTCAGCCACCATCCTGACCACTCAGCAGCTCTTAACCTCCCGCAGGACCTTCCAGCAAAAAAGACCGGGACTCACTGAAAGCTCAGATGAGGGACACTTGGGTGGCTCAGCAGTTCAGCATCTGCCTTTGGCGCAGGTCGTGATCCTCAGGGCCTGGGAATCGAATCCCACATCGGGCTTCCTGCATGGAGCCTGCCTCTCCCCCTGCCTGTGTCTCTGCTTCTCTTTCTGTGTGTGTCTCATGAATAAATAAAATCTTTACTAAAAAAAAAAAAAAGCTCGGATGAGGGTTAGCATTTTTTAGCAATAAAATATCTTTAAAGTATGTACATTGTTTTTAGACATAAAGCTATTACACACTTAATAGACTAGAGTGTAAACATGACTTTTATAGGGACCACAAAACAAGAAATCCATTGGACTCCCTTGATTATGGCATTTGCTCTATTGCAGTGGTCTGGAACTAAATCCCAATATCTCTGAGGTATGCCTCTAAGTCTTACATAACACAGGAGCCCCCATAAAGAAGTGAATGAAGGCCCAAAGAAACAAATAAGCCTGAGGTTTTTATGCTTAGGTTTGATGACGAGTGGAAAGTTGTAAGATGTGATGGGACAAAGGTAAGATAAATGTAGTCAACTGGGGGAAACAACGAGGCTTGTTGGAGGCCTGTTCTGTCCGTGTTCCTTCATTTTTGGAGGTAATCCTTTTCTCCCAGGACAGGAGAGCCCCTCTCACATGAGGGCTTTATGACCTGCTTCAGGGGAAGGTCAGAAAGTCTTTGCTGAGGGTGGAAGAAATCATGAGAACAGATCAAATACATGTTTGTTCTACTGGCCACTATTGAACACCGTGGGGTCATGTGTTTACTGAGAAGCAACAAATCACAAGCAGAGCTAACAAAATAGAAGGGAGGGAGGAAGAATCCTTCCCGCACATTCCAATTCTCAGATTCCTTCAGCTTGAAGTACTCACTAGGCCAAGATGCCCTCCTTGGGGGTAGCTCGTCCTGAACGTGATCAGAAGTAATAACATCCTTGATTTTGGAAACTATACAGTGCAATGTGTCAACGTGTGAAAGATCTGCATCATCAGTGAACTAACTCCCACCCAGAATGCATAATGTTACAAATATTTATTCCAAGGGCAAGATAAACCCTAGATTTTAATGAAACAATATATAAGTTTACTGATAATGTTTTAGGTTCCACATTGCAACTAACCTTTGCGAAACTACTGCCTGTCTAGTTTGGGTTGAGTGCTGCAGAAGATTATCTCTGTTATTCCATATTTTTGTCATATATCTCAACCAAAACAGCATAATAGACTAAATGCAGAAGCAGCTATGAGAATCCAGCTGTTTTCTACTAAACTAGAGAATAAAATGATTTGTAGGGATCCCTGGGTGGCTCAGCGGTTGAGTGCCTGCTTTTGGCTCAGGGCATGATCCTGGAGACCCGGGATAGAGTCCCACCTCAGGCTCCCTGCATGGAGCCTGCTTCTCTCTCTGCTTCTCTCTCCCTGTGTCTCTCATGAATAAATAAAATCTTTAAAAAAAATAAAATTATTTGTAAAAATGCTAAACAACTTCACTTTCCTGTTTCTTTTGTTTTGAAAATATAGTTTTTCCATAAAAATATGTTAATTTTGTTAACATGTGGGTTTATTACTATTCAATGAATTAATAAGTAAATATAAATGTTTCTCAGTTTTAATTTCTAATACGGTAAAATATCAATAGAGGTAACCCACATGAACAAAAGCTCTTTGGGTTCTTAATTTTGAAGAAGGGGTCCTAAAACCAAGGAAGCTTGAGAACCATTGACTTAGATGAAAAGATTAAGACCCTCCTACCTGGTCTTTCTGCTTCTGGCCCATTCCCCGGTTCCTCCTTCTATCCTCAGTTCATCAGCTGAGGCGATCCTCTTAAGATGTAAGTCAGACTGTTACTCATTCACTCAACCATTCCCAGAAGCTCCTCAGCTCACTCAGAGGAAAAGCTAAGTCCTCTCCAGCCGTGCTCACACTTCTCTCCATCCTCACGCTTGATGGGCACACTTCTGTCTGAGGCTGTCCCTTCTGCCTAGAGAGCTCTTCCCACGGATGGTCACGGAACCCACTCCCTCATCTCCTTCAGGTCTGCCCTCAAGAGTCACTTTCTCAAGATTTCTCTGGCCGGTGTCAAGTTGCAAAACCCATGCTCACACTCCCAGTTGCCTTCCCTCCTTTATTTTTCTCATAGCATGTACTGCCACTTAATACCCATAATGCTTTATCAATTTATCTTTTTTATTTTCTTTCTCCTTCCTCTAAAATGGAAGCTTCAGGAGGACAGAGGCTTTGTCCACTTCATCAACTGCGTATTGTGCTCTGACGCATGGGAGGAGCTCAGGGAATATCTGTTCAATGAAGAAATGAACACCTCTATGGCCAATAATCTAGACTGGCAGTTTGCTCCGAGTAACCAGTGATACTATGGCAGTGTCTCCTCTTTAATCCTGTATTTATTATGATTACTTCATTTAGCCTCTCTGAATTAGACCTTTTACATATCATCAGTGCACATTTTAAATGTTTCTTTTTTCTCAACCACAGTGATGTCTTAAAACTTCAGAGCCGGGGGCACCTGGGTGGCTCAGTCAGTTGAGCATCTGACTCTTGACTTCGGCTCAGGTCATGATCTCAGGGTCATGAGATCGAGCCCCATATCAGAGTCCACGCTGGGCATGGAGCCTGCATAAGATTCCCTCTCTCCCTTTCCCTGTCCCACCCGCCCCCTTCCATGCTCGCTTGCTCCCTCTTTTTCTCTTTCTCAAAAAGCAAACAAAACTTCAGAGTATTAAGAACATCAAATGGTTCTGAGCCCACAGAAAAACCCCAAATCTGCATTTTTCAATAAAGCTCTTCAGAACCTGCAAACCTGCATTTGAGGACAAGTGGTAAACCTACCAGGAGAGATTCCTGGACCAACAAGCTACAAATGGTTTCTGTTTTCTTAGTATAGTTGACACCCAATGTTACACTAGTCTCAGGTGTACAACATAGCGATTCCACAAGTTTACAGGTTATGCTGTGCTCACCACAAGTATAGCTGCCATCTGTCCTATTACATCACTGTTACAACATGACTATTTCTTATGCTGTGTCTTTTATTCCTGTGATTTATTCATTCCCTAACTGGAAGCCTGTATCTCCCACGTACCCACATTTAAATGGTCTTTAATTTACTTGCGTGTTGATCCTCTTCCAAAAAATAACTTGGTGTATTTTAAAATTGGCAAAGGCTAATTCTGCTATATTGGTAAGTGTGTGAAAGCTGTATGGATATAGTTTAAACTTCCTTAAAAAGATCAAATATATTATTTCCTTTTTTACAGATTTATCTATTTATTATCTTAGTGCGGGGGCGGAGGAGGAGTGGGAGAGAGAATAAACAGACTCCCTGCTGAGGGCAGAGCCAACGGACAGATGGACAGACTGGATCTCATGACCCTGAGATCACAACCTGAGCCAAAATCAAGAGTCAAATGCTTAACTGACGGAACCACGCAGCTGCCCTGCAAATATATTATTTCTAAAACATTTTAATACTGTTTCATTTATTAATAGGGAAACAAGGAAAAATTATGAGTAACCAAAAATCTCTTCCACACGCAGCTACATAAGCTAATAATACCGATAATTAGGAACAGTTTAGCTAATGAGAGATCTTGATCAGAAAACTTTTTTAAACCTTATAGTTTTATAGCAATAGTGACAGCAAGGATTTCTTTCAAAGTGGTGTTTTTATTCCCATCTCTCCCTAAAGATTTTTGGAAGAACTAAACCTTTTGCGTGGTTTAAGAAATGGCTTTGAAATGTTTTTCGGAAAGTGAGCAGCATATGTTTTTCCCTCTTTGGAACCGGAGCTGAGACCACAGGAACATGAGTAGAGCCCCAGGTCTTTCTTTCATGAGTGTGTGTGTCTCCAATGACTCTCCTGCTGGGACCCTAATAGGATTTATTCCCCTTACACCTTGATCTTCCCTGGCTCCTCATGCTGTTCTATGTTCTTGGTTTAATGAGGTAATTCCTGTGATCCAGGGCAAAAGACAAACAACAGCAACAAAAACCTACCTTTTCCTTAGACAAAAAGGATAGCTGAAGGAATGCGGACTTAGGTTCTCTGCTGTCATTTTAAGTGGCCAATATTTGACAGCAATCCTGAATATGCTGAGCCAGGAAGATGACAGTAGCCAATCTCAAAATCTCAGCCGTGGCTGGGCAGACTGCATCTCACACAAGTCTATTTAGCCTTGATAATGTGGGAAAATAGTAGCTGACTGGGAGGGGCTGGGAAGGGGGAGGGGTACAGTAAGAACTCGAAACAATCTAGGGTTGATGGAATAAGCAATAAAAATGTATGTGTAAAATGTTTAATGATGGAAATGAGAGTAATAGACACTGGGAAGGTTTTGAAAATAGAAGTAAGCAAAATCCTCTATCATAGAGAAAAGGAACAGATAATGCCTAAAATAGATGCATCAAAAAATAGAGATCTATTACTTAGAAATGTAAAAGTGACCACAAGAAAAATTTTAAATTATTTAATAAATTTAAAGAGGTTGGTTTTAGGGAGGAGCTGGGTTGAAGAGGACTGGGGCATGGGAAACTTGTTTTATTATGATGATGATCTCTTGTACTCTTAGATTTTATAACCATATATATATATATATAAACATTTTTTATATAGTAAAAATAAAATAGGGAGTAATTCTGATCCCCCCTGATAGTCAGGTTGGGGCTGGAGAGAGAGAAGGAACAGGGTCTGGGATGTCTGGCCAAGGGGCTAATATGGTAAATCTGCTTTTGCTGTTGGCCTTGTTCAGGTGTCAATGATGAGCAAGAGGATTTGCATGGCCTGCAGTAGTCCTGGCGTCTTGGCCTTCCTGTCCAGAATTGGATGCAAGACAGGTAAAGGCTCGTGATAGTAAAGAGCTTTACAAAGTACAATTTCAAAACAGTTATTTCCACATCCTTCGGATAGCCTAGAGAAGTGGTCCTGTCCTGGTCAAGCCTAGAGAGGATTATAGACATGAAATAGCTCTGGGGAGAGTGGGCCCCTTTCTCTGCCTCAGCCCTGTAACAAGTCATACCCTAGAAATCTTGATTTTGTGCTTACTGTTTATGCTGAAGTTAGAAGAGATCTATGACTCCTCATAGCTTCTTGGTTCAGAAATCTCTATTGGTAGCTTTTACCGCTTGTTCCCAAATATATGTGCATGTTCTGGGGAGCTTTATTGAAAATGCAGATCCCTCGGTACCATCCAAGGAGATCCTCATGCTGTAGGTCTTTTAAAAAAAAAAAAGGATTTTATTTATTCATGAGAGACACAGAGAAAGAGAGAAGCAGAGACACAGGCAGAGGGAGAAGCAAGCTCCATGCAGGGAGCCTGATGTGGGACTCAATCCTGGGTCTCCAGGATCGCGCCCTGGGCTGAAGGCGGCGCTAAACCTCTGAGCCACCCAGGCTGCCCCAATGTGTCGGTCTTGAATCGCATCAGGAACCTGTGGCGATTCTGACCAGGTGTGAGAACACTGCTTTAATCCAGTCTGGTTTATGTAACCCTCATGACAATCTTAAGAAATAGAAGAACAAAGCTCAAAAAGTCATTTTCCCAAAATCGTACCTAACAGTGAAGTCAGTATTTTAAGCATAACATGTCTACACTCCTCCTGAAACTGACCTTCTCTCCTAAAAAGAGCCCTGATGTGGAGGCTTTGCCAGTTTTGGTGGTGTCAGTACCCTTATCATGGCTGATTTCAAGTTACCAACAGGCCATCACGAACGTGGAGCTGGAAAAAGATGCTCCAAAGCACACGAATATTTCTATGATATAGACACAATGACCTGAGTAGAGGTATAGCCTTAAGAGCCTAGTAAAGTAATTAGGAACTGGTAAGTCTTGAGTATCCATTCCCTTTGTAATATAATTTATTTAATTGTAGGTTTAATTTTTAATAATGACCGAGCTGAGCCACTGACTTCCACTGGCTTTCACAGTCACCTGAAAATTGAACACCTGGCTCTCGCAAGCTGTCACAAGCCAGTGTGCCTGACTCCAAAGCCCTCTATACTAGTGTTTAACAACACGTGGTCTGTGGAATACAAACTCTTCAGTCTTTTCTGAAACAAAATTTTAAAGGTCAAATATGTTTGGGAAGTGCTGCATGATTGGTTGCCTCTTTAAAAATCTACCATTTAGATTGGTGTATTGTAGTCCCTAAGAAGTGTTGGGGTAAAGAGACCTGTTAACGTCAACCCCCAGGTTCCCCTTTGCATCTATTAGCCCTCAGCATCCTGCAGCATGGGTGCTCCTTCCACTCTGGGACATGCTGTGCATCTGGGGAAACCCTAGCAAAGTGCTTAGAGAGTACTGGGGGTGGAGCCAGACCACCTGAGTTTGAATCCTGGCTCCACCATTTGAGGTTGAGGGTCTTTGGGCAAAAGTTGAGGGTCTTTGGGCAAATAAAAACTTCCTGTCTTTGTTTCCTACACTACAACATAGGAATAATAGTAATTCCTATTTCGTATGGTCATGGCGAGGATTAAATGAGTTAGCATATACATAAAGCGCGTAGAGCAGCGCCAAGCACCTGAGAAGTGCTACCTGAGTTTACGCCAGGATTACCCTTGTTCTCATGCCACTCGGCCTCTAGCCCAGTCTTCCATCTCCGGATCCCAGGGTTCCCAATTAGCAGTATGGAAGAAGGCAAGGGTCTCCTGACATTCTTTCCTAAGTTCAAAGCATTTCTAGCCATACTAGAAAGATTTAGGATTTGCCATTTTTCTTGAACCTGCCAACTTGGACTGTGATTTTAGATTTTACATTTAAATAAAAATGCCCTTAATTAGAAACCACTTAGACAGCCCATGACATTGATTAGAGAGGAATTTTCTTTTGCCATCAAGAAGATAATGGTGGCTTAACAGCAGGCCTCTTCCTTCTGAGTCAGCATCATCAGGAGCAGGAATTGTCACCTTTCACAGAAGACTGGCTCCAAGTCCTCCTAGCTCTCTCGCATCCATGACTTCTCCCCGGGCACCTGAAGGGCATGAACCCCTCCAATGCTTTGCCTCCTTGCCAACTTAGCAAGCTGCATTCTGCCTAAGAGCATCGTGGAGAGGTGACTGCACACGGAATCCCACAAGAGCTGGGATAAAGGAAGCTAGCTGTGACTTCACCTTAGTTTTGCAGAAATCTGATTTTATTTGAAAAGGAGTATGGGCAAAGGGCATGAAGAGGTCACTCAAAAAAACACATATAAGACCAACAGACATAAAAATATGTCTAACCTCACTAATAATAATCAAAGAAATGTCTTAAGACAACATATTTCTTGGGATCCCTGGGTGGCGCAGCGGTTTGGCGCCTGCCTTTGGCCCAGGGCGCGATCCTGGAGACTCGGGATGGAATCCCACTTCGGGCTCCCGGTGCATGGAGCCTGCTTCTCCCTCTGCCTGTGTCTCTGCCTCTCTCTCTCTCTCTCTCTCTGTGTGACTATCCTAAATAAATTTAAAAAAAATTTAAAAAAAAAGACAACATATTTCTTATGTTAGGGCAAAAAAATTTTTTTTCTAATTGATAAAATCTAATAGTGGCAAACATGTGAGGAAACCAGCATTCTCTTACACTATTATTAGGGAGTATAGAATATTTTTGGAATACCATTAAACAATATAAATCAATATTTGAAATGCATATGTCATTTGACACAGCAATTTGACTTTAGAAACATCACAAGAAGATAAAATTGGACCAGGAAACAGAGGTGTATGTTCAAAAAGACTCAAAATGGCTCTTAATTATTTATAAAATGGAAACAAAACTAATTATATATGTGGTAGATTAAATTGTGGGTCTCAATTTTTTACCCCAATCTGCACTCACATGTCTTCATCATAAGCAAAGTCTATTTCCCATTCCTTGACTTTGGCCTTGGCTATGTGATATGCTTTGAGTGGTACCTGGGCAGAAGGAGGATGAGAGACACATGGAGGAGAGCCACCCTTGCCCCTATAGACAGAGCAGCCATAAATTGAGGCCAGCCTAAGTCCGCCAAAGTCCAGCCAACCTCTAGACATGTGATATATATATATTTAATTTATCCATCTGTATCTATGTGTAGAATTTATATAGAATATGTATTATTATATAAATTATGCATTATATGTAAGTCATTGTTTTAAGTCACTGCAATTGAAGGGTAATTTATTAAACCCTTCACCCATACAGTCCATCAATAGCACATGTATGTGATACCACACTATGCAGCTGTTACTGGTGATGATATGATCTATACTTACTGGCATGGAAAGGTGTCTACTCAATATTGTAAAGTGAAGGAAACCAGATTTCAGAACACAACCTATCTAGATATAATTATACACACACAGAGATATAAGAACAGTTGTTTAGGTTATTTCTGGAGGGTGGGAATCAGAATTTTTTTTCTTTTTTCTGTAGTTTTGTCTATTGCTTTTATTCTTCAAAGAGCCCTCATATTTTTTAGAATTGGAAACATGGCAATGGCAATGATTGTAATGTATATTTAGAGAACAAAAAAGGGGAGTCTGTTTAGAATAAAGAGAAATGCAGTTAGGAAAAGAGGAGCCCAGGTTACACACCGCCTTGAAAGGTGGACAGAGTTCAGGTGTGATGTACTGAGAACTAGAAATAGACGTAATAGTAGTTAGCACTGATTCATGCTCACTCCAATCATTCTTATCAGCTTATCCTGATAAGTGAATGATCTCGTGTAGTCTACATAGCAACACTTTAAGGTCATGATTTTACCTTTCCTCATATTATAGAAAAAGAAACAAGTTCGAGGAGGATAAATAACTTGCTCTGGATCACACAGTGGATTTGAACACAGATCTGTCTCCAGAGCCCATCTTCCTTCCAGCATGCACGCTTATTCTCATTGTGGGCTTTGAGTGAAGGAATGGCAGGGAAGAGTGACAGGAGGTGCTAGGCATGGAATCCGAATACCCAAGCTCTTATAGCTGAAGGGGCTGTGGATAAAGGCTAGGTGGAGGGCACTATAGCTCAGAGGAGAGGTCAGAGAATCAGTCAAATCAGAGGTCCAGTCCTATCTCAGCACGGAGTGATTGTGCACTGAGGCCTCTCTAACTCTGGCTTTATCCTTCCATGAAAATGTAGGATAAATAATAAATACCTCCTTCATAGTAATGGGCGTCACTTCAGTGCCTGGCACATGAGCCACCAATAAATGGTTGCTAATATATTTTTTTAATTTTTATTTATTTATGATAGTCACAGAGAGAGAGAGAGAGAGAGAGAGAGAGAGAGGCAGAGACACAGGCAGAGGGAGAAGCAGGCTCCATGCACCGGGAGCCCGACGTGGGATTCGATCCCGGGTCTCCAGGATCGCACCCTGGGCCAAAGGCAGGCGCTAAACCGCTGCGCCACCCAGGGATCCCACTAATATTTTAATATAAATAAAAGCACTTTGGAAAACATAAAATGCTAAACACATGCTAATAGTTGCAATTTACAATTTTAAGGAACACAGTGTTTAAGGCAGGGAGACGTTCCAGTGGAGGAACCCACAGGACGTGGCAACAGGCTAGCACCTGCAGATGAATGGATGTGACAAGTTTAAAAGGTCACCAAGATATAAAATCTGGAAAAATAGCGATGATCTTGATGAAGAAAGCTTCATTACTAAATTGTGGAAAATGTGTTGAAAAGCCTGTTTGTGGCAATGAAGGCTGTCTGTAAAGGTTATGTTCATTCATTCATTCATTCATTCATTCACAAACACCTACCATGTGCCTGGCACTGTAGTATACTATACTCAAGCACATTATGGAGGGAAGTGAGGGGGGACAAAATGTAATCAAATGGTCACACAAATAAGTGTAAAATGCATCAGTGATAAATGCAGAGAATAGGTACACGGGATTATGAAAACAAAGAACCGGAAAACGTTTCCGGAGAACGTGATGATGATGATTCGGCTGAGATCTGAGGGGTGAATAGAAACCTAAATGACTTAGTTCAGCTTGTTACTTTGCAGATGCGCGATCAGCTTCGTATCTGGACACATAAATCAGAGGCTCTCAAACTTGAGTGTGTGCTGAATCACATGGGGGGCTTGCTCATAGACCCGCGCTGGGCCTTGCCCACAGAGTCGGATTCGGTGAGTCTGGGGTGGGGCCCGCGGGGTGATGCGGGTGCAGCTGGGCTGGGGCCACACGTTGAGCACCCTGCTGCAGATTAACGCCCAACACTGCCTCCTGCCAAGTAGCACAACTAACGTGAGCAACTTGTAACAAGTGCTTTCCAGGTTGCTCACCACAAAAATCAATTTCCAAAGTCTTTTGGTTGAAATGTTTTTACACCAGGTTGAATGTTAACATTACATGTTCAACCTTTCTCTTTATTGAAAAATGAGAAAAAAAAAAAAAAAACCAACAACACCGTAATCGCAGCCTCGACCTGCAGTTAGCTCTGGGTGAACAAATGTCAAAGCGCCCCAAACAACTCTAATGGGATCTTTGAAGGGGAAGAGGAGTGCCTGGCCCCCGAGGCCACTGTGGGTGCAGAGCAGATGAGGGGCATGCCGGCTGGGGGGCGGCTTGCTTCGGGATGATCCTCTAATTTACAGAGAATTCTGTTCCTCGGAGGCTGGGAAAAGGGAAAGCTGTCAACCATCGACCCCTGATCTATTTTATTACTTTGCAACAACACCACACAAGAAATGCCTGAGTACATCCCCTTCTAAGCGAGCCAAAGCAGTAGAGATAAGGCCGATGAGGCCGTCCCAGCGCTCACTCTTCTCTTCCTTTCCCAGAACTAATTTTTGTTGTCAGTTTGGCATTTATGTTTCCAGACCCTCTTCTACACAGTTTCTATGGGAACAATTGATTCTGGTTTCCTGTGAAGGTATCACGCTCTGTGTTGTTCCACAACTTACTCTTTCTTTCCACTCATGGGTATGTCCTATGGATTTTTCCATGTCAGCGCAAAACTCCAACCGTGCTCTTATTTTTTGCATATTACTGCATAATACAGAATCACAAAGTTCCTTTATAAACAGGCATTTAAGCAGCTTCCTCTCCTGCCAGTTTTGCTATTTTCTCCGGTTTTTTTTCAGTGCCTATAAGCAAAGCTGGAGTGAACATTCTTGTCCGTGCCTTCCCATGGGCGGGGGGAGGGGGGGCGCCTCTTGAAGGCGGGGATGGAGAAAGAGAACCGCAGAGGCCCAGTATTTGAGTGTTTTACATTTTAATAGATATTGCCAGATTGGCCCCTGAACCCCCCCCACAGGGGGCGGAGGAGCAAGTGCTGCTTCCTTACACATGTGCCAATAGTTGGTAATAGCAAACATTTCCACGCTACCATTCTGGTGGGTGAAAAAAAATAGTATTTCATTCATGTTTGCACCTTCATTTCATTCATTACTAGTAAATTTGAGCTTATTTTCATGTTTCCACTGTCCATTCAATTTTCTTAGCTGAGAAATCACCTAGTTAGGATCTACCCATCGTTCTTTTGGGTTAACTTTTTCTTATTGATTTCAGGTGTTCCTTATGTAATCTAAATGGGAATCTTTTGTCTCTGTGTTTCTCGAACACTTTCCCCCTTGAGCTTTCATTTTAGCTTTGTTTATGGATGTCTCTTCTAGGGTGGAGAAGTTTCCTTTAGAAATAGATTCACCACCCTTTTCCTTTTTTTTTTTATAAATTTATTTTTTATTGGTGTTCAGTTTGCCAACATATAGAATAACACCCAGTGCTCATCCCATCAAGTGCCCCCCTCAGTGCCCGTCACTCAGTCACCCCCACCTCCCGCCCACATCCTTTTCCTTTTAAGGACTTTGCTTTCTGTATCTTGTTTAAGGGGGGGGGGTCTTTATTTTCAGGATGAGAAAGCCCAGCCCTTCTGTTTTATCTCACAGGTGTCTGAACCCCATTTTAGACTATAGCCAAGGCCTCTGTGTACTTGAAAGATAAAGGGTGCAGTTTACTGGTGCTGATGTCTGCATCTCAGAGAGGATTGTGTCCACTGGGCCTGGGACATACCTGGAAATTTTCATTCCTGGGGAGCTGGGACGACTCCAAAGGCTTCCTTGTACCCCTCCTCCAGGCAAGGCCAGGAGTCCCTTTTGCCACCAGAGGCCTGTGTGGGACCTGACTCCCTTCTGACTATGTTGCAATCGTTTATGGTGCTGACACTCCCAGCAGACTGGCCGAATCTTGAAAACAGGCAGTCTTGCTGGCCTCTAAATTCCCGGTGTACATACAGCCTGGCCCGTCGAGGTGCTCGGAAAATGTTTTCTCAAGTGAATGAATAAGGCACTAAGGCCCTGAGATCTTCTGGGAAGTGGAACTCTCAGTAACGTGGATGCAGACACAGGCCAGCTCAACAAGACAGGCTGGCACAGAAGCATCTAGATGCTTGCTTGTCCCTCCCTCTAGGCTGTATGCGTCATGACAACAAAGAGTCCACATTTACTGCTGTTTCCCTCATACCTAGAAGAGGGCTTAGAACCATATATGCCCCCTCCCCGGGCATAATTATGGAATAAATGAATGAACTACAGATATATTTCCATCTGTCTTCTCTCTGAAGACACTAACTGGCTTGATTTTCTGGTTTTCTTCCCCTCCCAGGGAGGAGGAGGTCTCGGAGCTCATCTTCCTCCGCCCCCTCCCAACACAATGGTGTACTGCAGATGCATTTTGCAGATGTAAGCCTGAACCTCAATGTCAGGCAAGCCAGAAGTGCACTCCAGAGAGCCAGGGCGAGCAGTCGGCCAGAAACACAGTGTGCGGAGGGGCTGAGAGCAGGTGAGAACTTGGCCGCTGAACTGAAACTGTAGGGCAGAGGGTAGAGGCTACTGTGGTAGATTTTTCTTTTGATTTATTGCTTTTGTAAGAAGTGGCTCGTGTACCCAGAGAATTACGAAGGTAACCTAAAAATCCCTCTGAATCCTGCAATCCTGGGGGAACCACTGCTGACATTATGAGCATCCTTGCAAGAATTTCTGTATGCATGTGTCAGGTTACGTTCACCTACAAACGACAGACAACCAGAACAATGACGTAAGCATGATCACAGCTCATTTCTCTCCCACGTGGAAGTCTGCATAGGTGGTTCGGATTGGCAAGGATCTCCACGGTGCCAGTCACCCCGGCTCGTTGCCTTGTCACTCTATTGTATGTGGCCTCCAGCTCATGTTCCCAAGGACTGCATTTGCAATCTAAAAAAAAAAAAAAAAAAACCAGAGGAAGGAAAAAAAATAGATTCCAAGAGAGAAGCCAAAGGAATACATATATTTCTGCTTATATCCCATTGGCCTGAACTAAGTTATGTAGCTGCAAGGGACATTGGGAAATGTAGTCCTTGTTCTGGCAGCCCTGTGCCCAGCTACAGATCCTATTACCATGAACAAAGGGGGAAACGGGTACCCAAGGGTATCTGACAGTCTCTGTCACAGGGTCTGGGTAATATTACATAACAGGATCACAGAGACAGCATAATATAGATTACAGGCTCTGGAGAGAGCCGTGGGTGGAAATCTGGCTTAGCCACTTACTCTTCAGTTTACTTGTCTGTAAACTTGGGGATTATAACAGAACAAACCTATTCCATAGGACTGTTGTGATGACTGATGAGCTAATGTACGTAAAAGGGCAGCACGGCACCTGACAACCAGCTCTCAGTCAAGTGGCCTGTTAATCTTCTGCTTTTCTTCTTTAACACTCACCAAAACAGCATGAATAAGGTTCTAAATCACCATCTATAAACTTGCTTACCTTATCCTTTGAATGACACCATAGGATTCCATAATATGGAGAGGAAATAATCTTTTTTTAAAAAAAAAGATTTTATTTATTTATTCATGAGAGACATAGAGAGAGAGGTAGAGACACAGGCAGAGGGAGAAGCAAGCTCCTCTCCGAGCCCAATGTGGGACTCGATCCAGGGACCCTGGGATCACACCCTGAGTCAAAGGCAGATGCCCAACTGCTGAGCCATCCAGGGGTCCTGAGGGGAAATGATCTATTTAACTAGTCCCCTCTTCATCAGCATTTTAGGTTGTTTCTAATTTTTATCATTACCAATGAAACGTGTCATATCAATTTTGTTTTGTCCTTGCATGATTATCTCCTTAGGGTAAATTTCTAGGTATGGGATAGCTGATCAAGTTCATGTAATTTTTTTAATAAGAAATGACATATCTCCTAAGGTGGATATTATTAATAGCTAGCTCCTGAGGACATGGGAGCTACAAGTTTTGAGCACCTACTAAGTGCTGAACCTTGTGCTAGTTGCTACAGAGGGTCCAGAAATAAGTAAGCCATGCCCTGCAATCAGGGAGGAAATACAAAATTCGGATGCTGTGAGTATTGGTGACCTGGGGCTCAAGCCATTTGTGGGAGTCTGAGATGGTCTCCCTGAAGACGTGCTATGTCACAGGGGACCTGAGGCCCAAATCATGTGTGGGTGTGGGGAAGGGGAGGATTGGAGCAGGAAAGCATATTCCAGGGGGGGAAGGAAAACGGGTGTTGAACTGATAAGCTAATGGCTAAGAACATACACCCTGGAGCCAGAGTGTCTGAGTCCAAGTCATGGCTCTGCCTACTTATTACCTGCGAATGACTTCTTCATGCCTCAGTTGTCTCATCTTTACAATGGGCATGATAGTAATTATAGGGTTCTACTCGAGACTGAATAAGTTAGTGCACAGAAGTATTTAGAAGAGCTCCTGGCAGCTAGAAAGCACACCGTGTCAGCTAGTATTAGTGCTTTCATCTCCCTGCCCGTGCTTAGAAGTCAGCCCAAGACTGAGTTCAACAGTCAGCGTCAAGGCCACCCATTTGTTTTCTCCCAAGGGTTTCCTCTTTCACTCTTCCAACACGTATTACTGAACCCCTCCTAGAGCGTATTTTGCCTAGGCTTCGAGAAACAAGTGGCTGGTGGTAAGAGTTATTTGAAATTAAAAATCTGGGCAGCCCGGGTGGCTCAGCAGGTTTAAGCACCTGCCTTCGGCCCAGGGCGTGATCCTGGAGTCCCGGGATCGAGTCCCACATCGGGTTTCCTGCATGGAGCCTGCTTCTGTCTCTGCCTCTCTCTCTCTCCTCTCTCTGTGTCTCTCATAAATAAATAAAATCTTTTAAAAAAAATTAAAAATCTCCCACAAACAGAAGCTCATGTAGCTACGAAGCAGTCTGTGTTGTGCAGAGAAGCACAGGGTGCTCTGTGAGGGCTGATCGGGGCCGTCCAGTGAGGACACGGTGAAGAAGACAAGACCTAGGGGGTGGGACAGGGAGTGGTCCAGGGAGAGAGGAGACCGGCCGAGGGAGCAGGCTATGGAAGGACCCCGGAGGGCCTGTCTAGCACATCAGAGGGACCCGAAGCAGTGAGCTAAATGGCGAAGTGAGCCAGGGCAGAGGTGCAGAGAAGCGCAGAGGGAGGCAGCCGCTGGGCCACAGGAGCTCTGCAGCCCCCAAACAAGGCCTGCCCTTGGACTCTCGGGGCGGGGGGGCGTGCAGTCTGAGTCCCATCCTGAACACCTCTCCAGGGTCGTCATTTTTGCCAACGAAAGCTACCTTCCTTCCAGCCACTAGGTTCTCAAAACTTTCCTTGCACTTGCTCCCCCAAAATCCTGAAGCTCAGCTGGGAAGTCCTGCAGACCAGCACGTTTGAAGGGAAGAAACAATGTTTACTGAACACCTATTATGGACCAAGGACTGCTCCGAGCCCTTTAGCCATCTTACCTCATTCACTGCCTGACAGTATGCAAGAAGTATTGCCTTCTTTTGATAAATAAGAAAATAGAGACTCAGACAGCAGAAGTAACTTGCCCAAAGTCACACAGCCTGTCAGGCAGTAGTCAGGTGTCGGAGGGCAAGGTGTGAACAATCACCCCCTATCGCCCAGACCATCGGGCAGGCGTGGGCTTGTTAGATCTCAGGAAACCACTTCGCTGTGCAGTTTCAGGCAGCAGCAGGCCGAAAATTACAGAGACCTCTTTTCAACCAAGTGTAGAGTTCATTAAGCTGCAGGGAGCTCTTAATATCTTCAGCATTTCTCAGCAGCCCTGTGCTCCATGAATAAAAGAAGGAACTAATACCCATCCCTAAAAAGGTGAATGAAAGCCTTTGCTATCTAAATACTGCAGATGAGCATCTCCCCCATTTGGCTGCAATTACCTCGGCTGGTCCCAAGTTACATCACTGCTAGTGAAATGATTAACAAAATAATGGTAATGATACCAACGGTAAATTAAATGGAAATAAAAGGAGCTCAGTGTACTATTCAGTTTCCCACTTGGGGACCACTCCTAAGTTGTGTACTTCAGCTTCCCGCTGGGAATTTCCACATGTAAATAAATATGCCTGGTTGAAACTGCAAACTTAGACCTCTGTACGGGGCTAACACTGAGTCCTAACCCTGGGATTGCTTCTCCCTCCTGCCAGGGAGAGTTCCCGAGGCTAATGTCAGTGAAGATGGATTTCCCCCTCCCCCCAAAATGTTCCAGTGAATTATGTAAATAGAGACAAACACCTTATAGGACTGACCTCTGTCACAGAATTTGACAACCTCCTGCCCTACCAAACCAAGTGGAAAATTGGATTTAAAGAAAACGAATCAGGACTTCCACTGCAACCCAGATGCTTTGTGGTATCCAGGTTTTCACCACCACAAATCAACACAACCCCACCAAGAGAAATTACCAGCAGATGTGACAAGGAATGGGCATGGCAGTTGGGGTCCACTTCGTGTCATCAGCAGATACCTGTCTTGTCAGAGGCCCTTTTATTAGGGTTTCAGCCATAGTCATTTGGTTTTTTAATAGTTCACCCTACATGAAGAATGAGAACTCTCGATTTAAAATCCAGCTCTGCCTCTTATTAACCATGTGATTTCAGACATATTACTTCAAAAGCTTTCTGGGAACCATTTCGTCATCTTTAAAATAAGGATAATAATAGTACCTATTTGACGATGTGGCTTTGAGAAGTAGAAAGGGAATGAATACACGTTGCAGTGCCTGACCCAGACTAATTGCTCAAGAAATGAAGTCTGTTCTTACTGCTCTTAGATTCCAATTAAAGAACTTTTTTTTTAATTTTTTATTTACTTATGATAGTCACAGAGAGAGAGAGAGAGAGAGAGAGAGACACAGGCAGAGGGAGAAGCAGGCTCCATGCACCGGGAGCCCGATGTGGGATTCGATCCCGGGTCTCCAGGATCGCGCCCTGGGCCAAAGGCAGGCGCCAAACCGCTGTGCCACCCAGGGATCCCTCTTAGATTCCAATTAAAGGTTGATTCCATTTCAGGATTAGTGTAAATTTTGTTTTAGACTTTGATTTTTAACATGACTGGAGACTGTCTTAGGTCTTACAGTTATACAGATATCAGGCTATATAAAATTAAGTTGTTCTTTTAGGAATTACTTATCTAACACTTATTAGCAATGTAATTTGGAGCAAATCCTACCTTCATGGGGTCTTAGCTTCCTTTTTTTCAACTGAAATTGGACAAAGACAGACAAAATTATGAGTCATAGAAGATAAAATTAAGGAGAGATATGAAATTATAAGACTTAGAAAAAAACATAAGAGTAAACTTTCATGACCTTGGATGAGGCAATTATCTCTTTCATATGACAAAAAAATGTACAAGTGATAAAAGAGAAGATTCACAAGTTGGAGTATATCAGAACTGAAAACTTTTGTGCTTCAAAGGATACCATGAAGAAAGTGCAAAGACAACCCACAGAACGCTAGGAAATATTTGCAAATCATATATATTGGATAAGACTTGAATCCAGAACATATAAAAAAATACAACTCAACCAAAAAGACAAACAAAACAATTTTAGAATAGGCAAAAAATTTGAATACACATTACTCCAAAGAAGACATGCAAATGGCCAATAAGCGTATGAGAAAACACCCAACATCACTGGCCAGCAGGGAAAAGCAAATGAAAACCACATGAGATAGTACTTCACACCTACCAGGATGACTGTGAAAAGGGCAGACAGTCACACGTGTTAGTGAAGAGGTGGAAAAGTTGGAACCCACATACGCTGCCAGCATAAAAATGTGGAAAGGTGCAGCCACTTTGGGAAAACAATCTGACGATTCCTGGAAGGATAAACATAGAGTTATTTAATGATCCAGGAGCTCCACTCCTGGTAGCCAAGAGAAATGAAAACAGATGTCCACACGAAAACTTGTACAAAATATTCACAGCAGCATTATTCATAATAGCGCCGCAGTGGAAACAACCCAAAGGTCTACTAACTGATGATGAACCTTGAAATCATTAGGCTAAGTGAAAGAAGCCAGTCACAAAAGACTACATACTATTAATTCCATTTTTATAAAATGTTCAGCATAGGCCAATCTGTAGAGATAGACCTTTAGGCTGGGGGTGGGAAGGTTTGGGGGAAAGTAGGAAATAACAGATGGTAAGTACAGTTTCTTTGGGGGAAGGGTGATGAAAATGATTTTTTTTTTTTTTACAAAGATTTATTTATTTTAGTGAGGGCAGAGGGGAGGGAGAGACAAACCCAAGCGAACTCCCAGCTGAGCAAGGAGCCCAACAAGGGCCTCAATCCCACTACCCTGAGATCAGGACCTGAGCCAAAGCCAAGAATTGGACCCGAACCCACTACAGCACCCAGGAGCACCGGTGATAAAAATGATTTAAAGTCCGATTACGGTGACAGTTGGTCAACTCTGCAAGTATACTAAAAACCACTGAATTTACATTTTAAAAATTAAATGGTCTGGACACAACCTTGCCCAATTTAACATTTTATAGAATAGAAGCAGATCTTGGAATGAGCTGGGCCCTGCAAGGAAAAGAATCACCCTGTGGACGGCGACAAATCCAGCGCCCCACTATAAAAATCAGCCAATTCACGGGTTAGCTGCTGCATAGGCGCCTAATAACCACTGACGTTTGATGGGAGCTCATCATGTATGCCTGGTGCTCTTGTAAGACTTTCCTGGAGTCTCACTTAATCCTCACAGCAGCCCTAGGAGGGTTCAGATGAGAAACTGAGGACCAGAGGGTTGCAAAGACAGGAAGTTGAGGGGTTAGAAGCAAATGCAAACGGCCTGATTCCAAGGCCCGTGGCCACTCTTCTTTCCATCCTGCCCAGCTTCTTCTGTGCATCTACCTGGGTGCAGGCAACGTGTACGCTCCATCAGCAACCAGTGCACAACTGAGCTTAAAATAACCTTATCGTTTCTCGCTTTTCAAGCCATGAATCCGCTTTCCTGCCTTCGCAGGCCCCCTGCGATCTGCTTGCAAGGCACAGGCTCTGGCCTCCCTCCCGGGGCTGCATCCGCGCCTCTTGTGCAAACCGGGCTGACGTGCTCCTTCAGGCTCCCTTGCTGACCGCCTGCAGCAGAGCAGCTGCCCAGAGGGCGGCTGGGGCCCCGGACGCTGGGCGCTGGGAGGTGGGAGGTGGGAGGTGGGCTACAGAAGCCCCGAAGGAACCAGGTGGCACAGGGCCCGGCCCACACCAGCGTCAATGCCAGAGGATGCCTGGGAACTAGGGTCCTGTGGCCGGAGCCCCCCGCTCCACCTGCCGCAGCCCCTCCCTGGCCTCCTCTCCCTTCTGGCCTTGAGGCCCCTCCACCTGCCCCAGCCCCTCCTGGGCCTCCTCTCCTGCCTCCACCTGCCACAGCCCCTCCTGGGCCTCCTCTCCCTTCTGGGCTGGAGGCCGCCTCCACCCGCCGCAGCCTAGAACATCTGCTTACTGCGTGCTTACACTCAAGAAAGCCGGGTTCGGCTCGGAGCTTGCTGTAGGTAAAAGCAGGGTTGGTGCCCACCCTGGCATGAGCGGCCAGGCCCCACGTGGACAGCTGGGCTTCCGCCGTGTGAGCGGCCCAGGAAGGCCATTCAGCCGTGTCTTAGGTGTGTGACCCAGTCTCCGAGGCCCAGGGGACCGCCGTGGGCAGCAGCGGCTCCTTTGGGCCGACTCTTCCTTTGCAGGTAACTAGTGCTTTTGCCAACCAGTTGTCAAGGTCTGTGTTTTAAAAACAAAGAACAAAACAAACCAACCAGCACCCACAAACCCTAAAAATCCAGAGTTGTAGGATGACCTCACCCGGGGTGACCAAACAGCCCCAAACACTGGGCCCCCTCCTCCTCTATATCCCGACTTCCTAGAGGGATCCGGGTGGGGGCAGGGTGTGAGCCCAACCTTGAGATTCCCTGTCTACAACCCATTTCCAGGTGGGTCCAGAGAGGGCCCCAGGGCCACGTTTGTGCCCCCGTCCTGCATGGCCTGATCTCCCAGAGTCCTATTCACTTCTCTAATGAATGTGTCTTTAACTGGCGAGGCAGCGCTGAGCAGCCATGAAGAACACGACCGTGTGGAGCCAGGTCAAGGAGCAAATCAACTGCCTCCAGTCCCGGCACCAAGGGGCAAGGAAGCACCGAGGAACCTAAGGTAGTGGAGATAATTTTACTTTCTGGGACTCCAGGGAGGTAAAGTAACACAGGCATGGACTTTGATAGAGCACTTGAAGTGGGTGGGCTGCTGGGACCTTCCAAACTCCCTAGCCTGAGTCACAACAGGTTAGTGCCTCCTTCTTACCTGGGATAGTCCACAGGTTAACTGAAGAGGAGGCAAGCGAGGGCCAGAGCTGCTTAGGCAAGGAGCAAGGAGCCTGAGGCCTGCTCTCTGGGTTCATCCCAGGCTTTCCCTGCCCAGGCTCGGTGTCTAAAGGCCTAAAGAATGTCTGATTGAGGAGACATCTAGTTAGGAGGCTTCCGAAGTTCCCCAGACCTGGTTGGCTGGTGCAGCCTGTCCGTCTCTCCCTCCCACCCCCACCTTATTCAGGCTACCTTTCTGCATCTGTAGAATGTGGGCCAGGACCTGCTGGGTCAGCCTGTGATTTAGTGACTCACTGTGAAACCCAGGCTGAGTAATAGAACCTGAAGCTCTCTTCTTGTTCATTTTCAGGATGGTTCTCTTGGGTTTGTTTATTCCTTGGTCTCCCCTGATTCTGGCCTGAAAGAGCTAGGCCACAGTCAGATGATCAAAGCAACTGGTGCAAGACAATTGCTTTGATTTGCTGTTTGCTTCAGATCTGGATTACCAGCTGTAGCCTTTCTAATTGAGCCTCTCTGAGCGTGGGATTTAAAAACTCACAGGTACCAGGGCCTTTAAAGTCATCTGTTCTTCCCAATTTGTCCCATGATCCTGTTTCTCGAAAAAAATATTTTGTATATCTTCTTTACGATCCTGAAATGAAACAGAAGTAATATAAGCAACCTGTATACATGATTTTTAAAAATCACCCTAATACCCTTATATTACATAGAAGTTGAAAGAGAGTAACGTATTAGGAATAACATATACTTTACTATGGACATGTTTGGGTACAACCCAACTAGGGACATGAGGAAGAAGTCAGAGCCTATACCTATGCACAAAATGATGTAGACAATTCAAGGGATATGCCTGCAATAAGCTCCAAACGTACATGGATCCAGGAGTGTTGTATTGGTGACTCAGACACCACGAGTAGTGTCAGTTTTCCAAAACGAATTCCAGCATTCATGCTTCAGAGGTTCATTTTGCACCTGCCAAAATGAGTTCCAAAGGAATTTAAACAACTCTTGATCAAAGTAATAATAATAATAATAATAATAATAATAATAATAATAATATAACCCCACAAATTCTCCTTCCTAAGTATCTGTTCAAGAGAAATGGAAACACATGTCCATGCAAAGACTTGTACAGGAATGTTGATAGCCGCATTATTTGTAACAGCCAGAACAGGGAGCCATTCCAAATGTCTATCACCTGGTGATGGGCTGAAAAGAAAGACGTGGCACACTTTGGTGGAATACCACTCGGCACGGTAAGAAGCAAGCAAACTACCGACCCATCGCACAGTGCACCTGCACCTCAAAACAAACAAACAAAAACAACGTTATGCTAAGTAAAAAAAGGGAAACACAAAAGGCTACATGTTGTATGATTCTATTTATGTGAAAAATTTTTTGAAGATTTTATTTATTTATTCATGAGAGACACAGAGAGGGAGAGAGGGGCAGAGACACAGGAAGAGGGAGAAGCAGGCTCCATGCAGGGAGCCCGACGTGGGACTTGATCCCGGGACTTCAGAATCACGCCCTGGGCCAAAGGCTGGCGCTAAACCGCTGAGCCACCCAGGGATCCCCTATTTATGTGAAATTTCTAGAAAAAACAAATCTATTGAAACAGAAAGCAGATCAATAGTTGCCCGGGGGTGGAGCAGGAACTGACTACAAACATATATAAGAGATAGAAATGTTCTGAATCTGCATCGTAGTGATGGTTGCCCGACTTACCCAGTTTACCAGCATCACTGAATTGATTAAATACTTAACTGAATAGATAATGCTTTAAAAATGAGTGAATTTGATATAGCATGTAAACCACAGCTCAATACGACTATTTTTAGGATGTACCCTGCCCTTGATTTATATAGTAATTCCAGTTTTCAAAAATTCGATGTCTACCAGTTATGCCAAAAATGAATTGTATTCATATTTAAAACAGAGCCAGGTTCTAGCATCAGCTAATCATGGACAAGTTTTTCCTGTCTGTGAGTATCCAGTAGGACATGGAACAGTTGTGAGGGACAGTTCACTGTGAGGGGCTGTCTGGTATATTTTAGGTCATCTGTCATTCCTGTCCTCTGCCCACTAAATTCCAGAAGCAGCCTCTAATCATTGTGACACTGAAAATGTCCTGTAGAAGTCCAAATCACCCCCTAGGAAGTGGTTTCATCCCCACTGATAATTCCTGATGTAGCCCAACATCACATGGGGAAACTGAGGCCAGGTGAGGGGCAAAGACTTGCCCCAGGGGCCCAGACAGGGCCCCAGACAGAGTTAGTGCTTAGCTGCACTTGACCCAGATGTTCTGAACCGCACTTCAGAGTTCTCTGGCCTATATCAGACCTCATCACTCTTGGTCTTCTTTCTCTCCGGGCTGCTCCGTCCTCCTGGTACCTACCACGTAAACAGCTCAGCCTCATTCAGAGTTATAGAACAGAAGAGGCAGGCAGGGACCTAGAGGTGGTCAGTATTATGGGAGCACAGGAAATTCATGCTCAGGGAGCTCAAGCAACAGGGGCCGCTGGTTCTATGAATATCAAACATGAAGCTCCAGGGAGTGTATGGGCCCGGGAATGTCGGACACCCTCCACGCAGGCCGCGGCTCCAACCTCCCCACACTTGGCAAACATCACGAATGGACTGTGGCATGCCTGCCTTCGGAGACTGGATGCCGGGCCTGCCTCTTTCTCAAGACTGTCATCGTTAGCTGCGATTTTCAGAAGAGACAAATAGTTACTGTCCCAGAGATGCCGGGTCCAGAGAAAGGAAGTGGGCCGGGTGCGGGCATGAGACAAAGAGCCACCACTAGTCCAGGAGGAGGAGAAGGCTTCTGGACATGATAAACAAAGGAGCAGACCAAAATGAAAAGACCAGGCAAGGACACCGAAAACAACATTTTAGGCTTTGGTTTCAGCAGATGGGTCCTCAGAGAGCAGATGCTCAGCAACTGCTTGATGAATGACCACTGAGAGAAGAACAGGGACTGTCTGTCCTGGGTTTATAGCAACCTCTTGGTCAGAGCCCAAGTAGGTAGGCGTGTGCTGCTCCCCAAAGTGAGGCTCAAATCCAGAGGTCTCGGAAGCTGATCTCATAGCCTAGGCTCTCTGGAGGGTCCTTGTTTTATACCAGAGGAGATTCAAGCCGGACCCCAGGAGTTCTCCACCGCAGACGGAGGTGATCACAAGAAGAGGCTTCTCTTAGAGGGAGCCAGAGAGGCCCATGCAAAGCCTGAGATTTGGGGAAAGGCGTCTAGTGGCTGAGTGATGAGCGCCTTGGAGTCAGACATGGGTTTAGATCCCAGTGTTGCCAATTATTAGCTTTGTGACCTTGAGCAGGCTGCCTAACTTCTCAGAAGTCATTTTTCTCATCTCTGCACGGGATCTAACTCAGCGTGTTGTGAGGATTAAACGAACGGACAGTCATCCGGCTTGTAAATATCCATTTATCTCTCTGCCCTTTTGAAAGTAGCCATGGAATGTAGCTAGGACGGCCGGGGTCCCAAGCTTCAGGGGTGGGTCACAACTGATCTCATCACTCAGGATAACCCCAGACCTGTTGCTACACTGACCGGTTCAGGGATGGGTTACCTAGGCTGTGCCAATCAACATGTGGTTTTCTCCTGCTTGGTTCAGTTGGGTTCCGTTAGTCACGTTTAGAAAAGTTGGGTAGGAGGAGGACCGACTCTGTTTCTCTCTGTTTCTCCTCCTACATATGAATGAGGCGTTATATGGTCCCAGTTTCTGCCAGAAGCTATTTTACATCCATGGATAAAATCTCACCTGCAGAAAGGCAACACATGGAGTAGGGCCTGTCATTACCCGGGTTTTACATACAAGTACGCCAAGGCTCAGGCAGGTTAGCTAGATTGTTCAACAGCTACAGCTACTAAGCGGTAGAGCTTAGTCACAGAGAAAGCAAGCCAGGCCCCTGATCAAACCCTACCTGACCCCGTATCGTCTGTCCCTGGATTTTTAATGTGAAATCCGGATTGTTGCTTAAACCATAAACCGTTAGCACTTTTAAGTGCTCAATAAATGCCAGCAATCAGAACTATTAGTATTTTGATTGAGAGGATCACTAACTGGGATCCCTGGGTGGCGCAGCAGTTTAGCACCTGCCTTTGGCCCAGGGCGCGATCCTGGAGACCCGGGATTGAGTCCCACGTCAGGCTCCCGGTGCATGGAGCCTGCCTCTCTGCCTCTCTCTCTCTCTGCCTCTCTCTCTCTCTGTCTCTCTCTCTCTCTGTGGCTATCATAAATTTAAAAAAAAAAAAAGAGAGGATCACTAACTAAAAACCAAAAGAGGGTTTGACATTTTCATCCCAAGGTACTGCACGATTTTCCCAATGGCATTTAGCTATTTCACAGATCTGTCGAACAAATTAATTCAACAAATAACGATGGAGTTCCTACTATGTGAGCAGCCTGATGCTAGGTGCGCAGTTACAGTGGTGGGCCAGACGGGGTAGGTCCTGCCAGAGGCACAGACGCACCGGCCTGGAAAGCCTCGCCCCATCGCCACCCCTCTGAGAAGTCTCCTTCTTGCTGAGCTCAAGGGGTGACCTGCATGCCCCAACGTCTGTGCATCCCTGAAAGGAAAACCTTGCACACACGTAGACGCTCTGCATGAAAGGCACGTGGCTTTCAGTGTGAAGTTGGCAGGATTCACTCTTCTTCCTGCCTCCACACACACTCCACCGTGGCCGGGTGTACCTTCCTCGCCTTCCTCTCCCCCTTCGCCTTCATCTGCTTTCAGAACTTCACCGGATGCCCTCTACGATGCTTCCTGGCTGAGGCAGAGGCTCACCGTCCTCCTCGTGGGACCTCACCTCCATTCCCTGACCCTACCCCCTTCGCCCCTCTGGGTCTTCTGGCTTCAGGCCGTCACCTTGCCCTGCCTTCCAGGCTCTGCCCGCTTTTAGTTTACACTTACCTGTAATGTCCAGCCCACTGCTCTGTCTCAAGGGCTCTCTTTAAACCTGCTCATATCTCCACGTGCCCACCGGTGGCTTATAGGGGTTCTGAAGATAATTCCAGTATGCCTACATTCCTGACTTCTATTGTAGCTCCTGGCCCCCGGCCTAGACTTGCCTCGTGCCCACATAAATTCCTACCTTTAACATAATGGGGACAGTGACTTGTCCTGACTCAAAAACCACATTGCAAACGAGAGGGGAAAAAAAAAACACGCTGCATTGCCATCCCATTTCCCCCAGCTTTGCTTTTCCTTTTGTTATATATGCTGAAAGCAAACAAGTAACACATGTTTCAGGAGGAAAATTCACATTATAGCATTTGATAAAGTGGAAAGTGAAAGCCTCCCATCCGTCCTCCCTCAGGCCCTCTCCCCAGAGGCAGCCGTGCTGCCAGTTGGCTTGGTAGCTCTGACCCGAGGTAGTCGTGGGTTCTAGAGGCATTCAGGTCCCAGTAGCTGTAGGTGGTGCACAGTCTAGCTAACCTGCCTGAGCCCTGGTATACGTGTGTGCAAAACTGGGGTAATGACAGGTCCTACTCTTAAAGTTGCCTGAGGTGAGGGTAGAGGGACTAAATATAAAAAAAGACCGTACAGCACGTAGAAGAGTGATCGGCATATGGTTAAATGCTTAATAAATGTAAGTTATTATTTACCTCATTTTTAGTAACAGCCATATAGGGATGTCTTCTGTGACAAGCTCATGTGCTTTAGAGATGCACTGACCAGTTACTCCGGACTCGTGATCCAATACTGAGAATGGGTGTTTGAAGTTGGGGCCACTTAGAAAACTCAGGACCTCTGGCTTCGGTTTTCCTGTTTGCAATCCAGTGACGTTGTTCATCCCAGCTTCCAGGGGTCCACATGCTGGCTAGAAGATACTCTAAGAGACCGTTGCCTAGCAAAGGTCACTTCTGCATTCTTCTAGCCGTGTTCTCAAACCACGCACCCTTTCCTTCCCCCCACGTGCCGTGACCTGGGCAGCCAGCACCCTGGTGGCTACCTCTGCCCTGAGCTGCGCTTACTAGCCGTTAGCATTAGAAGACTTTCTCCCTGTTCTTTAGCATGCGAGGCTCGCAGCGCCCTTGCTCCCTAGCAGGTTAGAGCAATCACAAAGTATCTTTGCATCGTTCTCTTTTCCGGAGAAAAAGAAAGGAATGAAGCAACAGACCAGATGGATCTAAACTGAACACCCTTTTCTCGGCACTTAATTTCCTTCACACCGAGCACCAAAGTCGTTTGGCGGCCCTCGGGGACTACTTCCCCAGCAACGCCTGGAGTTGTAACCATTTGACCGCCGTAAACCGTGTTGAGCCTCACGGGGCTCAGCTCCCCACGCAGCACCAAGGAGCACGATCAGAAACTACCGTTTACCCTGGGAAAGTGTCCCGTAAGTGGCACCAACCAGTCTTCCCCAGTACGACCAGGCCCAAGCAGCGCTGACAACCGCGCTCAGCAGAAGATCAGGGGAGACGGAGGCCGACCCAAGGCAGCCCCTCAGAAGCCAGTGCCCCCCGTCCCCAGTTGGGATGTCCACCCTCTGCTGTCGCTCGTTCGCGGTGCCACCTGGCCGTCTCCAGGGCAAAGGCAGAGGAGCAGGAGGTGGGATTCATAGTGGCTCTTTCTTCTTCACTACCCGTATCCGCTCAGCTAGCTGGCCAAGTCTACCCAATGGCGGGTCTCATATTCATCCCAACCTACTTTCTAGTTCAACAAAATGTATGGGAACACTTGGGGGCTTTGTCCACACTCAGCTGAAAGAACAAATCCTAACAATTTTATTTATTTATTTATTTATTTATTTATTTATTTATTTATTTATTTATATTTTAAAGATTTTATTTATTTATTCATGAGAGATAGAGAGGCAGAGACACAGGCAGAGGGAGAAGCAGACTCCATGTGGGGAGCCTGATGCAGGACTCGATCCTGGGTCTCCAGGATCACGCCCTGGGCCAAAGGCAGATGCTCAACCGCCCAGGGATCCCCCAATCTTCCTTTTTAATTATGTGACCTCCAGCAAGTCCCTTGACCTCACTGAGTCTTGGTTGTCTCATCTGTTAAAGGGGAAAACAGTGCCTAAAGCAGGGTGTTATTGTACAGATTAAATGAGGCTGGCATCCACTAGGTGCTCAGGAAATAGCCGGTGGAGGATGAAGGAGAAGTGAAAGGACACTTGCAGTTAAAAGGGATGGAATTGATGCGTATGTTTACTTTTTCTTCTTTCCCAAACCATATTAAAATGGTAAGTATAAGTGTAAACTTACAGGGACACCCAGAGCAAAGGCAGCATAACCTTGATCTGTGATCCCTAAATGCACAGGAAACAAAAAAGAAGCCTTCAGTGTATGTAACCCCTTCGCTACCAGTTAGTACTTGCAAAACGAACCACTCCAAAAATGATGGCTCAGAACCAAAATAATTTTATTTGTTCACAGTTGTGTGGAGCCGGTGGTTTGGGCTGGGCTGAGAACGCACTCCTGCAGGTGTTAACTGGGTTCGCTCCTGTGCAGTCGGGTTGGCTGTGGCTGCGGCTGGGCCCCGCTGGCTGGTCTGGCTTCTCCCTCCCCGTGGTCTTTCTCTCTGCAGGAGGCTGGCTTTTGCGTCTTCACCCGGGGGTCTCCGAGTTCCTAGCAGCCATAGGATATAACTCCGTGCACACGCTTCTGCTTTGACCCGCACTTGCTAGCATCCCATTGGCCAGTCACAGATTCAGTGTGGGAGGGGACTAGAGAGGGCACCTTGAGTCATGGGGGACCTTCGTGCACCCTTATTGCACAGCTTCTGAAGCACATGCAGCATCTTCCTCAGTTAAGACGATCTGGGGGACAGACCCAGGTTGCTCTCGATGGAGATGCTCTCCAGTGGTCCTGACAGAGTCAGAGGTAGATCGAAAGAGATAAAAGCAGGTGGGCAAGTGAGGTCAGCTTAGCAGACCAGACACAATGGGAACCAAAGGCTCATGTGGGGGATACCGAGAAGGAAACTGGTTCATGCTGCGGATCCCCGGAGAGTCAGAAATTGAAGGCACCACGTACATTTGAAATCCAGAGCACAGGCAGGGCTGTAGAAGAATGAGCTGGAAGCCAGTGTAAGAGGCGCTGTCCTGCTCCCCTGCATCTTTGGCCCTGCCCGCACAATCCAGTGAGTACCTGTCCATAGCCCAGAGTTCAGGTGTACCCGGGGCAAGGTGGAACCAGGGGGATTCCTATCTTGGGATACCAAGCACTGCTGAGGGTGGGGGCACCATACTAAAAACAGGGGGGGGGATGTTACTCAGTTAACAGTAAAATAACAATAATAAGAACATTAGATGGTGCCACAGTGATTAACAGAAACTCCAGAGAGAGAACAAAAATGAGTGCAGGAATTCTCAAAGACTTCAATACATATCAATAACATTTCACAGTTTAAGGAAATGAGTTCTGAAATTGAAAAAGCCCACTGAGCACTTGGCAGAATTAATTTAAAGAGGGAAAAAAAGACAGAACTAAGGGATTTCACTGTGAATTGCTCAGCAGTTGAGCATCCGCCTTCAGCTCAGGGTGTGATTCCGGGTACTAGGATCGAGCCCCACATCGGGCTCCCTGCATGGAGCCTGCTTCTCCCTCTGCCTCTGTCTCTGTGTCTCTCATGAATAAATAAATAAAATCTTTAAAAAAAGAGAAAACCAAAAAAATAAAATAAAAAAAATAAAAAAGAGAAAACCCCCAATGGCTTCCACAGAGAAAAGATCAAACAAACAATCAACAACGAAAACAGGACACACAAAGGTTCAGAAATCCACATGGCATCAGACTTAGTGGCCACCGTAGGTGCTAAAAGATAATGGAGAAGAGCTTTCAAAATCCTGGGGGGAAATGATTTTCATACTAGAATGCCATACCCAGCCAAAGTGTAATTTTAGTGATAAGCTAATGATATCTTAGACATCCGAGACCTAAAGAAATTTGCCTTTACATGCATCCTTTCTTAGTAGGTTACAATAAATAAGGAAGACCTAGAAATCAGAAAACAGGACCTGCCCATTATTAGCCTGTTGTCTCTCTTTTTTTTTTAATTTATTTATTTATGATAGTCACACACACACAGAGAGAGAGGCAGAGACACAGGCAGAGGGAGAAGCAGGCTCCATGCACCGGGAGCCCGATATGGGATTCGATCCCGGGTCTCCAGGATCGCGCCCTGGGCCAAAGGCAGGCGCCAAACCGCTGCGCCACCCAGGGATCCCCAGCCTGTTGTCTCTTGTCTCAGAACTCTAAACCCACACTAGTAATAAATATTCCGTTCCGTGGTGCTGGACTGAGACGCTGAAAATCTCTTCCACCTCAGCCAACTGGCTCCCTGTTACTTTGTGCTGATGGGGAAGGGGTTGGCCAGAGGGGGATGGGAGGGCTGGAGAAGGAGGAAGGGACTAGCTCCTTCCTGTTGGCTTCCTGTCTGCAGTTCCTGGATCACACTGACCACTTCTTCACCCTAGTACAAACATCATTTTCTTGAAGCAACAGGTGAAGCCGGTTTGCAGTTTTCCCAACACTTGCAGGATCTACTGTTGTTCTAGAAGTACCAGCACCTGCCGAGCCACTGCCTTTACGCCTTCCTGCACACACAGTTAAAGTCACTGCTATGGTTTCTGAAACCCAGTGGCAGTGGGAGGAGACCCCAGCACAAGGGCTATGCATAGACTGGCGGGCTGCTTGAATGGACAGACCCAACTGGTCACCTTCCTATATCTATACTCTTTGCAGACTGACTTCTAGAACCTCTCACTGAAACATGGAATCTACTCTACACCTTGATTCTGGACTGCCATTGTGACTTGCTTGGCTGGCAAAATGTGATGGAAGTCACGGAGGAACCAGTTCCAACTACCAACCTGCAGGATTGTGAGCTGAATTAAGTGATTGTTGTTTCCAAACACTACCTTTTAGAGCGATTCATTGTGCAGAAATAGCTAACTGATGCACAGGCTTAGAGAGCAACCAGTCCGCATTTGGAGCAAGAGGACTGAAGGCTCACCAACAGATATATATTCAAGAAACAAAATGATATCATTAGATAAGCTAATGTGCTTGAATATGTCGAAAGAATATTTACATTTCTGGAGAAGAGTTAAATAATGATTTACTTTTAGATTCATAGAAAGCTAGGCAATTTATAATAAAAAATTGTTCAAGAATGACAATGCATCATAATATTTGACAGGCCTCCTCTGTGAATATTCATATAACCATAATAAAGCAAACACTGATTATTGTTTTAACCTTAAATTATAATATAATGATATTGAGAGGTGTGTGTGTGTGTTTGTGTGTGTGACTCATGGACACACAAGTGATGGAAGGTGAAGGGGAGAATCAGGGAAAAATCTAAATCCTATATTCCATAATTAGAAGTCAAGAAATAGCAGAAATAGGGATGCCTGGGTGGCTCAGTGGTTGAGCGTCTGCCTTCGACTCAGGGCCTGATCCCAGAGTCCTGGGATCGAGTCCCATGTCGGGCTCCCTGCGTGGAGCCTGCTTCTCCCTCTGCCTGTGTCTCTGCCTCTCTCTCTCTGTGTCTCTCATGAATAAATAAAATCATTTAAAAAAATTATTTCAGAAAAAACAAATAGCAGAATGACTGTGTTGGAAGCATAGAGATAGATTTCAGAAGAAACAACTAAATTAAGTAGATATCTCTGAGGAGTAGCAGTATTAGTGGGAGAAGTTGGGACTCTTATTGTACGTCTTGTGGAGTAATTTGGTATGAGTGTGTGTGTGTGTGTGTGTGTGTGTGTAATAAAATTCAAATTTACTTAAACGAACGGCCTTTGTGGATTTCCTTCTGTAGCAATTGCCAACTCACTATCGTGAACTTGATTCCCAAGGCTTGGTTGGTTTCAGCAGTTGTCTTTTCGTCGCAGTGTTCTTACTAGCTGAAATGCAGATGATATTCCTCAAAGTCCTCATGTGTCCTCAGGCCCTTGCTCCCAAATCCAACCACTGTCTTTGGTTCTCCCTCCCAGTTGTGGCAGCCCACCTCTCTCCACCACTGTGTGCGTGCCAGGTGCTCAGGACATCTTCCCAACTGGTTTCCCTGACTCTCATCTTTCTTGTTTCCTTCAAATATTCTTCGCTCAGCTGCCAGAAATGATCTTTTTTTTTTTTTTTTTTTTTTTTTTTTTTAGAAATGATCTTTCTAAACAAGTCATCTCAGGTCATGGCCCTGTCTAAAATTCTTTATTGATTCTCCTTCGTCTACAGGACAAAGTATATAATCACCAAAATGGCATGCATGGGCCTTCATGGTCTGGGCTCTCACCTTTGCAGCCTCACCTCTTGCCATCTGTCAAGCTTGTCTCCAGCCCCACTGAGCCTCTTCTCACCCCTTGTTATTGTCATGTTCTGGTTTTCTGCTTAGTTTTTGCACACGGGATTCCCTCTGGCAGGCCCTGTGGGTTACCAACTCAAAATTCACTCTTCTTTTCTTTTTATCTGCAAATTCCCAGAAATTCCCTTGGTCTCAGGGGAGGCAGGCCCGAGTCTTATTCCGGAGGTGGGCATATAAGCCAGTTCTGTCTATGGAACATCGGGAAAGGTTTACTTCCTGATAAGAGGAAGGTATGCAAGCAGAAGCCTCTCAACCCCATGATCCCCTCTCTTCCTTCCCTGGAGATGGGCTAGTGACCTGGATCTGCTGTAGAGCAATGGGAGGAAGAAAAGGGATGCCTCCTGGAACTCAGACTTCCTTTAGCCTCGGCACCAATGCTAGAAACACCACCAGACGTTTTACTGTAGAAAAAGAACTCCTTTCTTCTTTATGCCACTGTTGACTGGACGTCACTTGAAGCTGAAAGTATTTTTATTGGATATACCTACACTTCCCAGCCTCAATCCTGCTAATTAAAGAGCTCTGTCCCTGACCCTGTGCACCTGGAGCTTCTTGAATTATTATTATTATTTTTTAAAGATTTATTTATTTATTTATGATAGAGAGAGAGAGGCAGAGACACAGGAGGAGGGAGAAGCAGGCTCCATGCCGGGAGCCCGATGTGGGACTCGATCCCTGGACTCCAGGATCACGCCCTGGGCCAAAGGCAGGCGTTAAACTGCTGAGCCACCCAGGGACCCCCAGCTTCTTGAATTAGAGCATAATGGCTGAAAGCACTGGCTCTGGAGCCGGACTGCCCAGGTCCATCACCCAGCTCTACTGCCTACTAGTTGGTAGCCTTGGACAAGTTATTTATCCTCTCTGTGCCTCAGTTTCCTCATCTAATAAATGGGGCTAAGGAATTATTAACTTTATCTAATTATCACAGGCAGTAAATGAGTTAATATATGTATTTTGTACCTGGCTCCTCATAATCATTTAATTAATATTTGCTGTTATTAACACAAGCTTCATCATACTCAATCACAATAGCCTAATAATCCTCTTCCCTGATAGGCTGTAAAGTTAATGAAGGCAGGGGGTGCATCTGTATTGTTTATTGTATTCTCAGGGTTACTTTACTGCCCAATAAATATTTACTGAATAAATAAACATAGACCATGTAAACAGTATACAGAAGGTAAACCAAGCCAGACATTAACCCAAACGGAAAGGCTTTGTTCACCTGAAGTCAGTGAAAGGAGTTATAAATTCACAGCTTTGTGAGTTCTAGAAGGCTACTGCAGGAAAAATTCCCATCATTGCTTCAAAAGACAAAACACCCATGTGCTCATCAGACCTCCAGTGAGCAAGCTTCATTCCATCAAGAAAAAAAACACTAGATCAGCCAAAAGGTCAGCTCAACAGCCAGTGTTGAGCCAGTTGCCTGTAAGCAATTGCCTTGTCCTTGTCCACATTTGGCCTTCTGAAGACGGAGACTGTACCAAAGATAGGCTGTGGGAAACAACAATAAATCAAGGCACAACAATTCCAGATAATTGTTCCTCCAGTATCTTTCTTGGTTTGTTTTGATTTATCAGGCTTTTCCTTGTCATTCATACCAGTAGCAGAGGAACTCCCACTGTCTGGGCTTTCGACTCATCCTTACCCCTCACTTGAGCTGGAATGTCATGACACAATTGTCCTTTACTGTGTGTGTGTGTGTGTGTGTGTGTGTGTGTGTGTGTGAAAATAGGGAAGAAAAGTCTAGCATGAGCATCGTTGCAATACAAGTACTCACTATTTTCTGGTTAGTATGGAGTTTTTTCCCCTCATGTCTGCTGACAGGTAAGACAGGGGAAAATACTCCCTGGGCCTTCAGAAAGCTTTCACCATCGATCCTCATGATAATTGACTTTCTTATCTCTTTCTTTTCCTTTCACTTTGAGCAATTATGGCATCTTTCTTTGCAAAAGCTCAGTAATTGGAAAACTGGTTTATGAATCTGGTAACCTTTTCCTCCCTAAAGGTTTTTCTCCCCATCACACAGAAAGCTAAGGGCTAAGGGAAAGAGACGAGAAAGGAAAAAATGTATATGTTTTGTGAGCTGTAGAAGGATGAAAATTAAATTTATTTAATATTCCCCTTGTTACTTTTCAGGAAGAACTTGAAAAGGGGCACAAGATCCTTTGGATAACAACAAGGCTGAAGCTACATGAGGCACTTTCTTTTAAAATATATATATATTTTTTGTTGTTTGAGTAAGCTCTAGGTCCAAAGTGGAGCTTGAACTTATGACCCCAAGATCAAGAGTTGCATGCTCTACCAACTGAGCCAGCCAAGCGCCCCCTTTTAAAAATACATTTTAAAAAGATTTGTAGCCTCTGCATTGATCAGTCTTTTTTTTTTTAAGATTTTATTTTATTTATTCATGAGAGACACACAGAGAGAGAGGCAGAGACACAGGCAGAGGGAGAAGCAGGCTCCATGCAGGGAGACCAACGTGGGACTCGATCCTGGGTCTCCAGGATCATACCCTGGGCTGAAGACGGCGCCAAACCACCGAGCCACCTGGGCTGCCCATTGATCAGTCTTTAAGCCACCTTCACCAGAAGGTATTAGCTCCAGAGACCACACCATAACAAAGAGAAATAACAACAAAAATAATATTAGCAACAGCTCACACGTATCAAGGACTGTGCTAAGCACTTTATATATGTTGCTTCATTCACTCCCCAAAAATCCATGAGACAGGTTCTATTATTATCTCACTTCCTAAAAGGGAAACTAGAGCATAGAGAGGTTGAAAATCACTTGCCTGGGGTCATGGAGCTAGTAGTAGAGGAGCTAAGACCCCAAACTAGATCTGACTTGAAAGCCCACACTCTCAACCAACGTGGAAACTTATATAATATGCGTTACCAGTATGGGATAGTTATCTAGACCCTTTGTAAAACTGCCTCCAGTTCTCTCAGAGCTTCTCCCCTCCAAGTGCTCAAGATTTGAGAAGCCTTTTTTTTTTTTTTAATCAAAAAGATAACTACAAACAAAGAGTGGAGGCAGGAGGTGCAAGGTACAGCTGGCCCATGTACTTTGCTTGCTCCAGAAGTATTTTTAGGGGCACCTGGTTGGCCTAGTTGGTTGAGTCCAACTCCTGATTTCAGCTCAGGTCATGATCTCAGGGTCCATGGGTTCCAGCCTCGTGTCAGGCTCTACACTCTGTGGGGAGTCTGCTTAAGATTCTCTCTCTCCAGGCAGCCCGGGTGGCTCAGCAGTTTAGCGATGCCTTCAGCCCAGGGTGTGATCCCGGGGTCCAGGGATCGATTCCCACGTCTGGCTCCCTGTGTGGAGCCTGCTTCTCCCTCTGCCTGTGACTTTGCCTCTCTCTCTCTTTCTCTCTGTGTCTCTCATGAATGAGTAAATAAAAATAAAAAAAAAAGAAAAAAAAGATTCTCCCTCTCTCTCTAACCCCTCCCCCATGCACGTGCATGCTGTCTCTCAAATAAATGAATAAATAAATAAATATTTTAAAAAGAGAAGTTTTTTAAAAAAAGATTTTATTAATTTATTCATGAGAGATACAGAGAGAGAGGCAGAGACACAGGCAGAGGGAGAAGCAGGCTCCACGCAGGGAGCCCGACGTGGGACTCCATCCCAGGACCCTGGGATCACGCCCCGGGCTGAAGGCAGGCGCTCCACCGCTGAGCTACCCAGGCATGCCAAAAAGAGAAGTACTTTTAAAGACAATGGTATTTTTAATTTGCAACAGCAAAAGTCCCCATAGCTTTCTAGGACCCTTCATAAATCCAGAGAACCTCTGCAGACGGAGTCCCCGCAGTCAGCCTGAGAGAACATCACCCCGCTCAGGCTCTCACCAGCTATATGATCTTGTTCAGGTGCTTCACC